TGCTGAACCCAGACCTCAAGGAAGGTCACTGTGGGTCAGAGGAGGGCCGGCCTCAGTGGGGAGAACTGGAGAGGGGAAGATACAGGTGAACTTGGGTGATCTGGGGACTCCCAGGGGGTACTGTCCGGCCAGCACCCATTCCGAGCTCCGTGAGCAAGCCCACGGTAGCGTGTCTGTAACGGCCACGGTACCCTGCCTGCAGCTTCTGAAGCAGCTCTGCTCTACAAGGCGTAGGATGAGTGGAGCACATAGATGACTGTAACGAAAGATGAAGTTAACGAGTGTGTGTGAAATGGAGATGCAGGCAATAGCAGACCATGTCCCCGAGGCTAGGTGGCCGGCAAGAAAGTAAGTGGGGAGGAAAATAGCTTAATGGAAAACTGAGATTACACTTAGGAAATAAAACTAAAAATATGAGATTATAGACACTTTGGAGGTAAATGCTTTCTCCACTAAACTGTATCAATAAACTGAATTTTATCATCAGATGGTCTTTTGCCACTATTTCCAAACACATTAGACGAATTCAGCTTGATAAATTCTGACAATAGACATAACAATTTGTATCTCATGTCGATATGCATTCGTTATATGAATTCTCCCCAAACTCTTAATCATCCCAAAATGCTGGTCCACAAAAATAAGAATAAAATTATGGGTTCCTTCCACGTGGGCTAAGGCCTTTGCTATGAGTCACAGTCTGCTGGTGGGTGCCCCGTGGTTCTTCCTGCATAAACTACACCCGTAAGACATTCTCTGACTTTCCAGTTCTGTGTTTTGACAGCAGAGCCAGAACTTAAAGGTACTTGGGAAGCAATGTGTATGCAGACACCCCTTCGATTTTTTTCAGGTTTTATCCCAACCCCTTAGAGTTGTCTGACCCACTTCTAAACTGACGGCAATATATTTAGTGACCATCTTTCACTGACTCTTTCCAGAGCACTCAATTTTGTTGTAATAGACATAACTCTCTTTTTGCACTCATATTTCATTGGCTCACGTACTACTAGAATATGCACTTAGAGTCCACATACCACTGGCCTAAACTGGTCTGGGGATAGATACAACTGTCCCTTGGAAAGCTGATGACCCAACTGCTGGGAGCAGAAATGGCCCTTGGGTGAACCGCAGAGGCTGCGGGGAGTGGGGTTGTGCTGTGGGCAGCAGGAAGCGCATCTCCCAGGCGGAATGGAGAACCGCAGCTGGCTGGCCAGTCGGGTCAGCACAGGTTGGTCAAGAGAGTTATAACTGTATGTACAAGGAGAACCATTTGCAGAGGCAGAGACAGAACCCGAATCAAAAACAAGTAGCAACTCAGATAGAGAAATGGCCAAATAACTGACGTGACTTCCATCTCATGGACCACTGCAGATATTCAAACATCTCTCTTTCTATTGACTTAGCTGGATGGCCATGATTGTTTCAGGTTATAAGATTAAGTCGTAGAGTAACATACGTGGTGTGATCCCATTTTGGCAAAAAAAGAAGGAATAAATGAAGGAAGAAAGGGAAGGAAGGAGAGAGAGAGAAAAGGAGGGAGGGAGGAAAAAAGGAAGATAGACTATTTTCATATGTTTCTATAAGTCCTAAGAAATCAAGAAACAAAGGGAAGATTCACTGCAAACTTTTCTCAGGAGAATGCAGTGGGGGAAGGGAGATGATCAATTTTTTCTTTATATACCTCTATATTTTGTTTCAATGATCCTATGTTACTTCTTTTTTTTTTTTTCCTTGCAACACGCGGGCCTCTCACTGTTGCGGCCTCTCCTGTTGTGGAGCACAGGCTCTGGATGCGCAGGCTCAGCGGCCATGGCTCACGGGACTTGCCGCTCCGCGGCATGTGGGATCCTCCCACGTCCCCTGCATCGGCAGGCGGACTCTCAACCACTGCACCACCAGGGAAGCCCCCTATGTTACTTCTTTAATTAAAGAGCTTAAGAATATGAAGTAAGAAAATTAAAGTCAACTATATCTCAATAAAGCTGGGGGAGAAAAAGACTTGTAAAAAAATTAAAAAGAGCTTCTGAGCCATCCTCAGGGATAATGTAGCTCCCAGCCCCATCTGTCAGGGCGTAACCGTGACCCCCTTGGGCTGTCCCACTTCTCCAAGGACACAGCACATGTGGGCAGGCTGGCCCAGCCCCTGACCCATGTGGTAACAGCCAACCTCCATGTGGCCACCATGCTTTTTCAAAGCCCATTGACACGTTATCTAAGTCATCCTCTCAGTGGCCCTATGAGGACAGTAGGATGTAAACAGTCTTACTTAGAGCAGAGGAAACTGGGACAAATGGGTGGTGATGTGCCCAAGGTCAGGTGCTGGCCCCACGGGCGCCACAGTCATGGGCTCCCCGGTGGCTCTGCAGGTCAGTGGGGTAACCGGCCTTCTGAGGAGAGTAGAGCCTGGTCTGTTCCATAGTCCGTGGTCACAAAAGGAGAACACACCAGCAGCAAACTCATTGATTTCTATTTCCAAGCCAAGGGTATGAAGCAAGCTTACTCACCAAGTATAATACTTAGCCATGAAACAGCCAGGGGTTCTAATGGCAGCTGTTGTAATTGCAGCCACACTTTACATCTGGTTGATAAAGTACGTCGAGGACCACTGCCTTTACGGTCACAGCTGCAATGTCCCGATAACAAACCGGGACGTATCCCCTCCACGTATTTAAGAATCAAAATAGTTCACATTTGAGGTCTCACCAGATATTTAAACAGGGCCCCTCCTGAGTGAGAAAAATGAGGTTCAGGGAGGTTCGTAGGTAAAAGCCATGGGACCCCGACCCAGATGTAGCTGACCTCAGACCCAGGATGCCAGGCCGCTCACTTTCTACACTGAGGACTGACAATGACCTGCACGTTACGTTTCACCACATACACTATTTTAGTTACGACACACTTTCTTCTTACTTAGTTGGTAATTTGCATTTTAATTCTGAAAACCTAGGGAATACAAAACTTCAGCATTTCCAGCCCCGTGGTTCTGTTAGTTTGGCCAAATTGGTGTGATATTTCCAGATCGAGAGTAAAATCTGCTGAGGTGACCGGAGCCCCACAGTAGTTAACCTTCCATTACACGGCACGCTGGAGAGAATCGCCAGCGTGAGGCCTCAGCGAGCAAGGTCTGAAGTTCATCGCTGCTGAAGAACTGCTTAATTAGGTATCTTTCAGAAAACTGCCGCCTCTCGGAAAGGTCGGCCCGGTTGTGACAGCTGCGTGGATGTACACAGGGAGAAAGACGCTGCACACGATTAGAGCCAATGAATTTTTAACGCCTGGGTAATGATGTTCTCTGGCCCTGCACCTTGATGAACTGATGTACTGCCACGGGGTGGGTGAGAAACAACAAATCAAACAGGCTCCTATAAGAAAAACTTGCCTTTTTTTTCATGAGATGCTTAAAACATTGGGGAGGGGAGGCAGGGCAGGTCTTGGAGGGGCCACGGGGAAGAGGGAGGGCAGAGTTCCTATCCTTAGCACGAACAGCAATGTCTTCCCATCACTTTCCCTTTATTTGCTGACTTTAGTGGTAACGTACTGAGCAGTGGGCTGTGTTCCATTCACACAAATAACGAAGAACTGTCATTATTTATTGAGCAGGTATTAATAAGTGTGTGACCTCTGCTCTTGGCCTCATCACTCCCCTGGGGACCAGCACTTTCTCTTCTCTAAGACCCTGGCCAGAGGTTCTCATGATGGCTGGCCAGTGACCTGTCGCTGGATTTTGAGCTCAGGGTTAATTAGCAAATCTGCAAAGCACAGAGGAGCAGTTTTTCAATTTGAGAAGAACTCATCTTCTAAACAATCTTCCTTTATTTTTTTTTTATTTTTTGCGGTACACGGGCCTCTCACTGTTGTGGCCTCTCCCATTGCGGAGCACAGGCTCCGGACACGCAGGCTCAGCAGCCATGGCTCATGGGCCCAGCTGCTCCGCGGCATGTGGGATCTTCCCGGACCGGGGCACGAACCCGTGTCCCCTGCATCGGCAGGCAGACTCTCAACCACTGCGCCACTAGGGAAGCCCCGAATCTTCCTTTATTAAAAGTGAATTCTGAAGAGAGCCTTGCTCTGGAGGTGCCGGGCCTAGATGACATCTCAGGTTACAGGACTGTTGCTAAAATTACTCAGGGGCACAAACCAGGGGCTATCTAGAGGCACATGATGGTAGCTGGACCCTGTCAACAAGGAGCTCCAACAACACCTAAAATAAGTACATCAGTGGCAACAAATGTGTGAGTTTTGTCTTCCAGAGGGCAGCATGGAGTGACCTCCAAGGATCTCCAAGCCCCACGCGCTGTCGGGACTTATTGTCCTTGGGGCTTCTTGATGGAAGCCAGCAGTGTCCATGATACATTGGTCTCAAACTGGCTGGGGAGGAGGGGCTGGAGCCTGCCATTTTGAGTGTGCTGGGGAGGAAGGGGGACCACTCACCATCTGCAGGACATCAGCGGAGACCATCTGCATGCAGCACATGGCTGTGGCCAGCGCACACACGATGGTGGACAGGACGTTGAGGGCACACACGCTGAAGAGCAGTTCCTGTGGGAAAAGATGCGGGAGGACGTCAGCGTCATCTTGGCAACGCAGATGGCAGGCTCCTCGGCATTGCCGTCAAGGTCCAGGATGAGGATGTTAAATGTGGGTTTCTTTTTTCATCATCAAAACTGGCCTTTTATAGACACATTTGTTTATTCTTGGTTTCTACATGGTTGATCAAATTACTCTTAGATACTAAGTGATGTATTTTACAATTTTGATAATTATTAGGTAGTCACTGTCTAAGAAAATCTTCAAATGGCCAACGTTTGAGTAGGTAGGCAATCTTTGTCAATTATAAAATGTAACTGAAAATTTTGATAAGAATTCCAAGCTTTTTAAACTTCTTTTCTTGAGATAACTGTAGATTCACTTGCAGTTGTAAGAAATCATAGAGAGATCCTGGATACCCTTCCCTCAGTTTCCCCCATGGTAGCATCTTATAAAACTATAGCATGATATCATAACCATGATTGACAATGATACAGTCAAGACAGAGAACATTTCCATCACCACAAGAATCCACCCTCCCTGCCCGTGTTGCCCTTTTATAGACACACTCAACTCTCTCTCCCTGTTCCCCACTCAATCTCCCTATCCAGACCCCTGTCAACCACTAGTCTGGTCTCCATTTTTATAATTTTGTCATTTCAAGACTGGTATACAACTGGAATCATAAAGCATGTAACTTTTCAGAACTGGCTATTTTTACTCAGCATAATTCCCTCAAGATTCATCCAAGTTGATGCATGTATCAATAGTTCATCCCTTTTTATTGCTGAGTTCCACGTTTGTTCATTCTCCAGCTGATAAATAACTGGGTTGTTTTCAGTTTGGGGCTATTACAAATAAAGCTCAGGAGCATTTGTGCACAGGTCTGTGTGTGAACATGAGTTTTTATTTTGCTGGGATAAATGTCCATAAGTACAATTGCTGGGTCATATGGTAACTGAATATTTAGTTTCATAACAAATTTCCTAGTTGTTTTCCAGAGTGGCTGAAACATTTTACATTCCTACCAGCAATGTATGAATGATCCAGTTTCTCTGCCTCCATGCCAGAATTTGATATCACTATTTTATTTTAGCAATTCTGATAGGTGTGTAATGATATATCATTGTGGTTTTAATTTTCATTTCCCTCACAGCTAATGATCTTTCAAGTGCTCATGTGCCATCTGTTTATCCTCGTTGGTAAAGTCTCTGCTCATAACTTTTCCTATTTTCTAGCTGGATTGTTTGCCTTTTTTTCTTTTTTAACTGAGTTTTGAGAGTTCTTTGTGCATTCTAGATTCTAGTCCGTTGTCAGATATGTGGTTTGCAAATTATTTTTCCCAGTCTGCAACTTATCTTTATCTAGCCCTAGATCATGGTGATTTTCTCTTTTCTTTTCTAAAAGCTTTTATAGTTTTATGTTTTACATTTAAATCTGTGATTCATTTTGAGTTAATTTTTGAATAAGGTGTGAGGTTTAGATTAAGGTTTATTTTTATGTTTTTAATTTTGATCTCTACATATTCATTGCTAGAATATAGAAATATGGTTTGTATCAATATTTGTATTTATCTAGTATCCTGTGACCTCGGGATTTTCTTCCATGTTTAATTTCTTCCTTCCCAATTTGTATGCCTTTCATTTCCTTTTCTTGCCTATTAGCACTAGCTAGAATTTCAAGTATCGTGAATGAGAATAAGATGAATAAGATGCCGAGATGAGATATCTTTGTCTTATGCTCTCAGAGGGTTCACTCACAGAATTTTAACTATCCAAATACAATTCATTCTTCTTTAGATAATTTACTGTCAAATCCATGCCAGAAATAGAAGAAAAAAAAATAACCACGATTCACAAAAATGACCAAACATTTAGAATAATTATATGTCCTTCAATATACATACTCATACACTACTCATACGATAAATGCAGAAAATACTGTAAACACTCAAAAAATTATTAGGAAAAATGGATCTTTCACCAGAAAGACCATGGTATTAATGAGGTTAGTTTCAATTTTCTAATCAAGGGGTTGACAAATCCTCAAGACAAGGTGGGACATACTCATTATATTTCCTCGTTAACATGAATTGTACATGCACTGTGAATGTTTCAAATGATGGTCTAGTCTGGGAGCAGGTCTTGCTCATGGATACTTGAACCCATGTGTTCTAATCAATAGCATCCTTTAAGAAAGTTCCCCAATTTTCTGTGGCTGCTGTGACTACAGAAGTCTTTGCCCAATCCCCTTCCTCAGAACCTGCTCATTTGTTCTCAAGACTGCCTGTAAAATAGCCAGAAAGGGTGTGATTATGATAATATTACAGAGGACAAAGTTAACATACCATGCAAATGTGAATACAGAGAACAGAGTCATGTTCTGGAGATTTGTTAGGTAGAACTGAAGCAAGTCTCAGCTTAGGGCTAATTATTCTCCACTCCTGAGGTCAGAGTGTTCTGAGAACTCTGAACAAATGTGGGAAGAGTTGCTACTCCCAAATCTGAGTACTGGACACTGTAACCTCTAATCCTTTTCTCAGACTCAAATAGTTTCTTCATGTGCATCGGCTAATCAGCATTCAACTGAATACTCCAGGGGGACCCTCTGAAGATCCCAGGGTTCTCTCCCCTCCACTATTCTGTCCTGAGAACTCTCAACCCCAGGCCTCGGTCTCCCTCAGACCCTCAGCTCTGTCAGCTCAACTCAGGGAGTCTGAAGGGATCCCCCTGAGTTCCCCATCCTGCACTGTCCCCTGGAGACTCTCCCCTCATTGGCTGACCATATTTCAAGGATCACTGTCCTTCACTGTCTGATGTTCAATGTCTTCATATTTTGTCAGGTTTTTGTTGCTGTTCTTGTTTCAGGTGGGAGTTTAAGTCCAGTCCCTGTAACTCTGTCTTGACCAGAAGCTCTTGGTGGCTCTTAGGCTCATGTAAGTATCCTCTGTAACATTCTTAGGGCCACCTCAAGTGTCCTCTATGAAGTTGCTAAAGACAGAGTAGGATGGGAGCTCAATTGTGGGAAACGGCAGGCACAGATGGGGTTGGGAAGAGGCTACGGTGTTTGGATTTTATTTTGTAGGCAATGGGATACTTCTGAAGATGTTTGATGTTGGGAAAGAGATAACGCAGCCTGTTTTCACAAATGATAGAGACCTTTTGCAGAACCTGGGACATAGTTGGTGCTGACTGTTGAAGTGAATGCCCTTCTGAAAGTAACATTAATTTTGAATATAGTCTCATTTGCAACCAAGTAAAACTACTCACAAAAAATAAACACAAATCATACCCTTTTGTTTGAATAAGCGTCATGAGGCAAACACTGCTTTATGTCTCATGGAGCATATTCATTGGAATCACACACCAAAAAGACTTCTTTTTTTTCTTCTTCTAGCTGTTTAAATACATGGCTTTTTGCTAGATAACTACACACCTGGAATTGTGTCTATGTGTTTCTTCAGAATTCTCTTTCTGGCTTAAATAATACCTTTACCTCTGCCCTTTGATGGGCAAGCACTGAAATCCAAGTTCTATAAAATCTCTTTACAAGGTCATTCAAAATGGCAAGCGTGAGGACAAGGTGGGTCTTGCATGGTGGATCCTGAGTTTTGCTGCTGGTCACTCTGCATACTTCCTCGAATACAATTAAGGAAATCATGTCTATAACGAATCAAGTATAAAACAAAAACAAAAGGAGATACTTAGGGAAACCTATGAATGATAAATTCTTTAAAAATTCTCTCCAAGACGAGTAAATTCCGAATATTAACAACACAACAGAGAAAGGTGACAGCCAGGAGAAATTACACATTAAGAAACATATAAAATTTAGGATTTTGATTCCCCTGTTGGTTGAAAATATTATTGTCCAGAGGACAAAGGGTCTTATATTCATTACTATTAGCTAATTCACCAGTTTATTTTTTAACATGTTTTTGTTTCTTTGAATAAAAAAGGGATTCCAGAGGAGACTGTTATCAGGCAAGGTATAATGAAGGAAGATGAGGAAAGGCTCATAGCGTAAAAAATAAGCGATGAAACCCATGGCTAACAATAACTGTACATGTGTTATAATTACAAGGGATGGGGTTGGGCTTTATCAGAATTATCCTCTGGAAGCTTCCCAATTACTTGACACAGTAATCACTATCTTAGGGAGTCTTTCATGGCAACAACTGGAGTTCAATATGGAAAAACAGGATGTTAGGAAAGGTCAGTGGACGTGGTGCGGAGCCTGACGAAAGAAACCATGCCTGTCATCTTCTCTGTCCAAGGTGGGAAAGACCAAGTCAAGAACTTGGGTATGCCCTGATCACTCTTCACCCAGACCACTTTCTGGGGTTGAGTTTGCAACAGGCATCCTGGAGGAAGGAGGTAACATGTCCACTGGACAAAGTGGAGGCTCACTACAAAGGCAGCAGATTCTCCAAGCTCAGTGCTCCCTTTCTGTAATGCCCATCACATGTGTGGGCATCCAAGAGGGGCCTTTGTATCTTTCCCTGTGACTTGAGGGGCATGAAGAACTGACACAGCATGAAGCTCTGGCCACTGCTTTTGCCATGAGTGAGAAAGTCCTTTGTCTCTGAACAGGGAGTCTCATGTCTTCTGCCAGAGAAGTAGGTGCAGCAAATTCTAACAGGCTAGTTTGTTAGCTTGAAAGCAAGTAAAATCTCAGACCCTGCACAATTCCTGACAGCATGTTTCGCTCTTCAACAAGAGCAGAGACCAGTCTTCTGCTATTCTTTAGAGTAGAATATCTCATCAAAATAGGGGTCTTGGTAAATATATGTTTGAAAAATGTATGGGATATTTCATTATTCTTTTCTAAATTTTCAGTTTAGACTAGAAGGAAATAACAGGCTTAGTTTCCAAATTTCCAACCACACACCAGAAAAATTTACCATCACCTTGAAATAATGTTTTTTTTCAGAGTCTTACATCAAGATTCTGCAAAAACTCTTGGTCATATGATCAGTGTGTGTGTGTGTGTGTGTGTGTGTGTGTGTGTGT